GTAGAGGTAACAACGTGCCCTATCTGAGCGAGGGTTGAGTAGCGGGGCAGGGCATTACACAGTATATGCGGAAGGTGTTTATCTGTAGAACGATTCATTTATTGAGTGCGCAGAATTAGCCATTAGATTTGAGCCATGGTAAATGTCAATGGATTCTGAATCTTTTTAATTTGCTTATAATACTGTAAGTGTTTGCACAGTACAGTATTGCATATTTCACAACGTCCACCATGTGTTTTTGCGCATGCGTTGCTATTTAACGAGCACATTTTTACACCAACAGTGTTACTGATATAAAATTGTCCTCTACTCGTTCTCGTGTGTGTGTGTAAAAAAAAACAACAACACAATGGCTATCTCTGAGGCAATTCTTTCCAAGTTAAAATATTTAAACTTTTTGTTCCAAACTGCGTCACTATCATTTCCACGAATATAAAAAAGATGCACAACCATATCTGGCATAGCAATGTCGGACACATTTATTGGGGGTGTGGGGGATTGCGATAGTTATGTGGGGGAGTGTGTCTTATCAGGCACAGGCAGCAATTATTTTCAACATCGCATGCCTAAACGTATACAAGGTCTTGCTTATAGAAACAGAGCATCATGTATGCTATTCACATTTGCAAATGCGTTTCAATATGATCATTAGCCATGAGCCATCTACTGCTGCATGAAAGTCTCACAATGTCATTACCATCCCTCATTCTCGCGATGCAACGGTCCATGCAATTCCTTGCACATGAGCTCATCTCGTTTCTAAATCTCTGCAGCAGTCCTCTTCATGAAGTGTGTTCTCTGCTTTGCCATTCTGTTGTGAGTCGATCATCGGCCACCATCTATTCTAGTGACGTGTCGCTTCCCAAGTCCATTTGCTTAACAATAAATATGGTGTCACTAATTTGCATGTGTTCTCTGATCCATGTTTTCCTCTGTCTCTCAACATAGTTGCAAGAATTACCCCCCCACCCCCCTCCAGACTTCTCTTCCACGCATTTAAACTTCGTTTCATTTTATTTATAAGTGTCCACGCAAGCAATCAATGTCATAGCACGTAGTATGTAGTGATTAAATTATTATCTGCTCTGAGGTACTGTTCCTCTCAAAGTACATTGATATGCTGCTTTCCATGATCAATTAAGTTTTCCATTAAAGCAAATCAAACTACTCTCGCTTGCGTTTATCATTTTGATCCTGGTCTGCCTTCAATAATTGTCGTAGGCAATCATATTCTGGTGTGTTTTCCAATATATTCCCTTCAGTTTATATTCACTTGTATAGCAAACCTGTTGTACATGACCTGTTCTGCTCGTATTTATCTTGAACTCTTCTTGGCACAGTCCTCTTCATTACATTATTCAAAACATTCCCCGTAATTAATTTCCATTGTTTGTAAATGACCATGTCATCAGCAAATGACGACAATTTCTCCATTCATGTTCATCTCTTTAAATTCTCCAAACTTTGGTGATACCCAATCTCCTTGCCTGACTACCCTTGTGATTTGTACTTTGTTGCTTTAGTCCTCCAATTTCAGTGTAGCTGTTTCATACTTAGCATTTCTAAACGTCTTTCGTACAGTACAAAAGACGTTCAACATACATAGTGCGATGACTAGAAGACAAATTTGCACGAAGTAAAACAATTGAGTCTATAACAAGTATCAGTTTTTTTTTTTTACCGCATCACAATGCGATTGTAGTTTATGGTAGCAAGGTCTTTCCAAAATGTGGCTTTCCAATATGGTTGGTCAGCCTCTAAATTGTAAAAAAAATCACAATTTTTCTGCACTCACTCTTTGCTAAGTATTTATTTGCTTCAAAATGACTTTAAACTCTTCCAGAGGCAGTATGCAATTCTTTATGGTCACAATACCTTTTCAGGCTTGAATTAAATCTCAGCAACGTGAGGTCGCACTGCCATATTAGCCAGTTCACAGCAACACCACTTGGAGCCCGACTGGTACATATACGTTGCACACACAAGTCAAGGGTCTGCTTTGTTAAGAGCACTCAGACTATGACATGTATATGCTTCGTTTCATGTACGTCTTTCACACCTGTTTTGTTGAGGTCTTAAAGGAGAACACATTGCAAATCACTCTGTCCTTTTATAGTATTAAAGTATGATTTAGTCATTTATCTTAAAGAAATAAGATTCAATAATTCACAGCCTTGTATCAATCTACTGGTGGACGAATACCTCTTCATTGGGTGTCTGTCATGGTACTTGTTTGTCCATACTTCTCACTGGTAAATGTCGGTTTGTATAGGGGGTGGCCGACCCAGGTCTGGTTTCGTTATCACTTGCCACCAATGTTAGCCACGGTTGGAAATCACTCATGTTCCCGAGTTCATGGCATGCTGCCCTAACCATGGCACAACAGTTCTAACACCATCTTCTTTGGTTCTTTCGGTAAAGTCACGTAGAATGAGAATAAAATAATAAAATAAAACAATAAAATTCTCACGACGTTTCGGCCACAACACAAGTGGCCTTCTTCAGGTGAAAGGAACAAACCTGTCGGGACGACAGAGCTACAATGAACGCTGCTAAGATTCGCAGCGTCTTTTAAGCTGGTTGAGAGAAGTGAGGCACCTTGACAAAGGGGTTTACATATCAAACAGGAGAATTTAGCATTGAAACAGTTATTTTATTCCCATTCTACGTGACTTTACTGAAAGAACCAAAGAAGATGAATCCTTGCAGTCACGAACGCTTTAAATCGAAAGTTCTAACACCAGTTTACTTTCAATATGAGATCGCGCAGATTTAAGGTATCACCACCCTGTGAATGTGACCAAGTATAAAAACAAATGCAATCACTAACCTAAAGAATATATGATAATACTGCGCTGCCAGTTGTGTCAAAAGCACAAATAACCGATAGTTTTGGACAATGGAGAAAAAAATCCAAAGCACTTCACAATCTGGAGACTTCACTCTTGGAATTGCACTTCTCTTGTAACATTGGCTGCACTTACAACAGCAACGTGAGAATGTTCATTATTTAAACTCAGGCATTACATGTATTCATTGTTTTTTGCAGGACCCTCGTGACACAGTGCTGAGACTCAGTGTGGCTGTTATGGTCAAATAAAGGGCATTATTATTATTTTTAGTGTTGTTGCTAATAACAACCTTTATTCATTAGCGCCACTTTATTACGTCATCGTTAATTGTGATGCTGAAATCACTGCACTCATTCTAGTCCACTCAGTTCACGTTCACACTATCGCCACACGCACACATTGATTTATCTTGGTCTACACGAACTGAGATTTGGTTACATTCACAAAAATAGCCTAGGCTCAAATCTGATTTCTCCTCTCGAAATGAGACAGTCCCACTACATTTTTCCTCTGAGTTAAACAGCTTTCCCGAACACCACTCCCTAATTATATTGTCACCTTATTACTTGCCCTTTACGATTACCACCAACACAATCGGACATTGAAGGTTTCAAGATATTTCCATTCGTTACAAAATAATTACACAAGCTAAGCACTATTTGACATAGCTAATTTAATACCGATTTAAGCACCTACCCTGCAAATCAGTTACCGAGTATACAAACTGGCCTCGGAGAAAATCCTGAGGTATCATCCTCACTTGAAATCTGCATCTACATTAGCTGATCAAGTGAAACACATTTCATGAGCAAGTGTAGCACATTTATAAAGGTTTTTGAAAATGAGACTTTAAAATAAGTCAATGTTGTGCTTAACATCGCTGCATTTTTGAAGATGCCTTATCATGGTATTCTGGCAAACATCAGCTTATAAATTTACACCCACGTGCCATCTCCTATCAACATTATTTCGTGAAAGTGCTTTATGGAAACTTCGCTCACATGGCACAGTTGCCTTCCCATTAAAGAACTGCACGATGTATAATATACAAGGACAAAAGAAAGTAAATATTTCCATTAATTAACACTTAAAATGCATTTGCGTGGCACTGCTATGTGTAACATTTCAGTATGAACATGACCGACTCTACCATTTTACATAATCATATTTTTAAGGTGTAGGAGTTTGTTGATTTAAAAAACATGTGTGTAGCTGAAGTGTTCCTCAGTATAGTTAATAAGCAAAATATATTTTCCCCGATGACCAAATAATTCGGAATGCGTCCAACATAATCAGATCTCAAAAGCTGAACAGGGTTCAGCCTGAATAGTGCTTGGATAGTTGATCACCATGCACGGTAGGTTATTTAGGTGGCTGTGGGGCTACATTGTGGGCAGCAGAAGGCAGCACAACAAAATAGTCGTGTGAATACTGTACTAAGATCCCATGACTATCCTCCCAGCCTTCACTAACCTGCTATTGACCAGCATGGTGAAGTATGGTCAAATGTCCAGCCCTTCATCCAGCAGTGGGTATGCGAAAAATGGCTGAACTAGCACGTCATTTACTTCATAATAATTAAATTACACTCAATATCATTAAACCACAGGAATATGTTTATGGATAGGAGGTGGGCCATGCATTGACCTTGCAGACCCCCCACACGTAAACTGGCATTCAACAGGATGGCTTTTGTTGACAAAGGTTACAAATGGTAAAACTATCGTAATTCTTGCAAAACGATATGTAAGCATAAAAACACACACATTTTGGCACAATAGACGGCTTTGAACATTGTCTAAGTCCACGTGTTTATTTGATAATTTACTTTAAAATAATAAAAAATAGCACTTCTCATTCGCCAGTCATTACGGCACCCCACAACCAGCACAATGTCTCACATTGTTAACCACTCAACGCATAAAAAGTTAATTCAATGCAATAACCTCTTCATGGATGGACACAGATTTGCAACAATGGGAAGCTGGATGGCTTGCGGGCAAGGTTCGGAAGGTTGATTGCCACAAGCACCGGACATGGGAAACCACTTGGCACAATGGAAAACGTGCGAGTTTTAATGCACACAACAATACATCCCCATCCGTGACCCTGGGGGCGCTCATGCAGGACGCGTCTCTCGGTACTCACACGGAGAAGTGGTAGAGGAAGCATTTCCAGCCGGTGGGCCGCTCCAGGAAGTTATACACACGGGACTGGATGGTGGAGGTTCGTCCGCACATGATCAGCTGACTGTACGTGGACACGCGGCGGCCTCTGCGGGGGTCATGGGGCAGGCCATGTAGAGCAACTTGCGGCGTCGCCTCGACGGCATGCTGGCCCGGGCTCAGCATGTCGTCCCACGATGCCTCGCCGACTCTCGTCTCGGCGGTTTCGGACATCTCCAGGCGCACAGGTGACACCGGCACCTGCATTCTCTCCACGGAGGTGGCCTCCTGAATGGCCCGGGCTGGCCCTTTGTGCGAGGAACTTCGCTTTCCGTGTGACATTTTTTTCACGAACGCTGGTGGTTTTTGTGGGTTTTTACTCCGGGTGATATATGGGTGTTGAATTTGATTTAAACAAAAAAAACTATTAGTAAAACGGTGGAATTGCAATGGTCCTATTTGGGAATATAGTTGCTTCTAGTTGCTTGTCGTTGGATGATTTTTCAAGTTACAGTAGTTGAAGATGTTTTGCATAAACTTGCTTTGCGATCGTGCTTTTGCTGTACGTGTGTTGTGCTTCTTTCGCACCATACATACACATCGGAGCGGCAAAGAGATGGCTGGGTGTGAAGTCCTGGTGTGGAGTAGTCTCGCATGGAAAAACAACACAAAGGAAAGGCCATCAACGGAAGAATTTTTTAAACATTTACCAGTACTGAATTAATTAGAAGTGTCAATTAAAGTACAGATACGGTGTTTGGTTTGGGGTAGGTTTCAATGCACCAGCTGAACAGGCATATCCCGTTTCATTTTTTATGTAACCGACTACGGTGCAATCAAAATGAAAATGCATAAGTGGTGTGCATTAGTTTCCATATGTCATGATGAAAATACAAACGAATCGTAACACGTTTTTATTATTGATCCCTTTTACACATGTAAAATGTTTTATGCGTCTCATAAATTGCCTTTTTGTTTTAAGCATTAAATGAACCACAACAAGCTGCATTTTTACTCTATAAAATAGCCTTAAAAACATGATCTGAGTGTTGTCTCAACATGCTCTTGATATATACAAGCTGCCCAACATTACAACAAGATGTTTTCAATGCTTCTGCCATGAATCTGTAAACATAACAAGTGCCAGAATTTAACGCCCTTTTGGTGACCCAAACCCCACCAACATGTCCACATAAATCAGTTTCCTTTTAACTACATTTTGCAAATCTATTTTAATACACCGCAATTAGTGCGTTACAATTCGTGTACTTTGAATACAATTAACACTAAACACATGCTTAAGTACTCTGTAACAATAACTTTCTATACACCTTGTTGTCCGATGTGTTTGCAGGAAAGATACAGGATACAAGTCAACGCGGTTTCCCATTCAAACAAGAATGGGGGTCATGCCAATTTCCTGTGTACAACTCTCTCCCAGTTATCGGTGGACATTCTACATTCCTATGCTCGGGTTGTGCTTACCCACTAAGGATAACCGATACAGACTTCCCAAAAAAAGTGGTACTAAATTATAAAGCCCCAGATCCATACTGATTAAGTCAATGTCCGACCGGGATTTAAATATACAACCATTTTATCTGTAAGCACATGGTCGAAGCGGAACTATCAAAACACAGTTTCACAAAAGCACTGTTCTGTGCAAATAAAGTGTACAACAACACTTGTATATGTAAATAACCACAATCATCACAATACATACAACACTGTGTATTTCATGTACACCAAAACATCACAGAACATATGAACACTTTTTTTACAAAGCTTACCTTTGGCAGTGCTGAATTGATTAAGCCTCCTTCCAGTAACTGCAGATAGGCAGGAAGCGGTGATCACGAGGGTCTCCACGAGCACATGATCCATGTGCAATGTTTTATTAATGCATGCTGTTTAAATACCACTGTCCAGAATGAAAAAAAACGTGCAGCTCTTTTTTTATTTAAACCGGTGGGGGGGGGGGGGGCTTTTAGATAAACCCGTAAGTGTCGTTGGTTTCTGAAATCAGCAACAACTGGACACGAGAACGGATTGAGAGGTGTGGCAGCAGTAGCGCTGTGTGTGCGGTTGCAACACGGCAAGTTGGTAAGGCAAGTGAATGGGGAAGGCAGCATGGATAATCACACGTGTGAGGTTACCACAAACCAGACCGCCCGTTGCCACTCCTTCTTCATGAACTCCTCCCCGCCAGTAGTCCATGGGCCAGAACAGAAATTGGTACCACCTAAAGTAGCTCAACTTTATACGTACTGTACCAGTCTATGTCTATGGCTAATAGTGAATTATTATTAGCACTCTTGGCCGCGAAATGAATTCAAAATTTTTACATGCATTTGATAACCCACTCATTTCAAATGGTTTTAACATAATTCACTGTTGTTGGCCACATTAGGAAATTAGAACCGCTCATGTTATGTCACCTCAGGTGGTACCGACAAGTGAAATATCTGGTCTGGGCTCATGGACTAAAAAGGAACTGACATGCAAAAGGCCAGGCCTATTTGTTATGTCTATGGACGATACAGCTTTGAGCCTGCATGTTGCTTCGATAGGTGACCACCATGCATAAAACACGTGTCAGGGTGCTGTGGGGCAATGGGTTATGCTTAGATTTTTTGGTGAATAGGATCATCTGCCAATAAATAAATAATTAGTTACAACATAACTGCTCTAATACTTTGAAACTATGGTACATTTGCAGAAATGTCACAGTACTGTACTAGATTAATTGTTGATTTGTAACAATCGTTAAGCACTGACTTCTGTGTTTTTCATCAAATCATAGAGTGTAATGTCGTAATTGTTGAGATGTATAGGATGGGCTACGTGATGGGCAGAAGATGGTAGTACAGTAAAACCAGTTGTACTGTATTGTGCTCCAACATCTATGCTCCCCGCTTTCACCAACCAATACTGATCTACGTGGTGAAGTATAGTCAAATAATCTCCATGAATCACATAGAGTGGAGAAGCCCGAATCTACGTGGGATTGACAAAAGGGCTATACGGGTATACGTTCAAAATGTTCCCAAGGTGTTTTATGCAACTGGTTAGCAAATCAAAGCCGCTTTTTGTGTTTAGTTTGTTGCCCTTTCTCCGCACCTCCGATTAGAATGGTTGGGTACGTACGGTGGGAAAGAAGTTCAACAAATAATGCCAAAGCAAGGTGAAGACTGCGGACTATATCTCAGCTAGGCTGTTTTCCCCCAGCGAGGTCTATGCACACACATTGTGAACCTCTTTGTGAGTTATATAAACGTGTAATTAAAGCCAAGACTACACGAGTACAAGCAATCCTAATTGCTGATGAAGTTGTGTAACTTTCTGAATTTCACAGGATAGTATTTTTTTCCCGTTTGTTAAGATTTAAGAGCTTGATGACTAGGTTGTACAAATTTAATTAGATTTACTGGACCAATAGATGTTTTAGCGTCTGGTGAATCTGAAGTTACATGAAGGAAGAATGTAAGCTTAAGATGGACAAGGCAACACCACTCAAGGCTGATTCATACATTTTTTTAAACTTCATAAACAGTCCATACATTTAATCAAGGTCACGTTGCCCTTGTGTTTTTTGTACAAAACCACCTGTTGCAATATACATAATTTAGCTAGAATTTGTAACACTTGTTATATGTATGTCAATATGCCTATCTTGCAATTGTAACCCAAGTGAATAATAAATAGTGTTTGTTAAGATATGCTGAAGGTCAGAAGCTTACAATGCGTTTCTGTTTGCATTGAGGTCGCTGTAATTAAGCAGAACCATGCTGAAAGGTGCCTTCATGTTCACGATAGCTAATATTGCTTTGGTACAATAGTCAAACTGTTCATTGCCATAGGTACCACTTATCCTCCCAACAATGCCCCATACAAATCGTAAAATTGCATTTATTTACCTTTTTAATGGAAAAGTAAAAACTCCCCAATGTGCAACTGTGGCCATCCAGAACAGTCCATACAACATATAACGACACAATGCCTGATTCACCAATACGATGGAGACATTACAGCGATACACGTTGCTACTCCGGACGCGGTTATCTGGCTTGACCACCTGAATTTTAAATTGTTATTGTTGCTCTGTATCGACATCAGCCATATGAAAGAATAAAAGATTTATTCTAGATTTGAAGCTTTCGTGACTGCAAGGATCCATACTCTTTGGTTCTATTCGGTTAAGTCACATAGGTAAAAAATAAAAGAACAAAAATCACGACGTTTTGGCCACAACACAAGTGGCCTTCATCAGGTGAAGGGACCGTGCTGTCATGAGGACAGCGTTGGAGTGAAAACAGCCAAGCCCAGGTCGCGTCCTTTAAGCTGTGTGGGAGGAAGCAAAACGCTTTGACAAAGGAATTAACGTAACAATGAGCACGATGTACGTAGGAGGTGCATGGGCCATGATGGACCAGGAGCGGGTGGGGACCATGACGGACCAGCAGCGGGGGGGGGGGGGGGGAGTAGAGTGAGTGAGTGGAGTGAGTGAGTGGAGTGAGTGAATAGAGCGGGAAGCTCTACAGGAAGCTCTTCGTCTTACGAGGCAACCACGTGGTCGTAGACCCGAGTGAGGGTCCGACCCTTCGTAGCAGTAACCCCTCTGTATAGGGTAGTTAGCTGGGTGGTCACCACCCTATGCTGTATCGGGTAAAGGGACCGTTACCCCTTGGTGTTACGGTGTTACAATAAATGTGCTGCCTCTAAAAGGAACAACGTCCGCGACTCAGTTGGACTCACTACACCTATGTATTGAAAGCAAATCCACCAAAGTGTAATTTGCTTAGAAATTAATCGGGAAGAGGAGTTTGCAATGTTACATTTTCTCCTCTTGCAAATAAAAGCAGAATAATAATTTAGCAATGTATTTTGTGACCAGATTTCCTCTGAATAATGGTTGATGTGTTGATTGTATACTTGAATTGCATTTTAAACCCATTTTGATAAAATATAAAATCTTTTGAAATTTATTGAAAAAGAGCCATAGTGTCAGTCATTTGTATGTCGATGATGAAGTGTTAATTAAGTCTCTGAAGGACATATTTAGACTGGAATGCGTACATGTCATCACTTGACAGTGAAGGCTCGAGAAGCAATAAAACATGCAGATCGCAACAGGAAAGGGTAGCAAGAGCACATCGAAATGGAACTTGGTTGGCAAGTTGGTGACGTCCTCTTTCCAGAGGTGTTGAGGTTAGCTTGCTCTTTCACTGGACCCTAATGCCCCAGCAAGAGCCAGGAAGCGCAAGAGAGAGGATGGGCCTTGAACGAGGTTGAGGCACGTTGCTCCTTACTGCATTTACAGAACAGGAGAACATAAAGGACTTGATTTAAGCATGGGCAAGCTTCCCCAATCGGGGTGTTGGGATCAATTGGGGCTGCCTTTACAGCGCATCAACATTTCTGTGTATCCTTCCTGTTGAGTACAAGATCTGCAAGCCATACTCCTGGACCTGAGTGTGAGCCATCGAGCCATCTGCCCCCTTCGGTTTCTTGAAATTCAATGGGAACTGTAGGGCATAATGGCATGTATACACATGGCAGCTCCATCCATATAAGTAGGGGTGTAACTGTTTACATGCGAACACCACCATGAACATCTCCTGTCGTGTAACATGGTAGTTTAATTCGGTGCCCCTCGGCGTGTACGACTGCCATGCGTAATTAAGTGTTCCTTCCTGCACCTGGCACAATACAGTCCCCAATTGACAACTACTCACGTTACTGTGCAAAATAAAGTCCAGGAGAAAATCGGGTTTCGGCGAGGATGGGGGTGTAGGTCAGTTGGGGTTTCAGTTCGGTGAAAGTACCCCTGGTATGCCTCAGACCAGGAAAAGGGGTTATTAGGAGATGTAAATTTGGGTGGGTGAGGGGGCAGGCAATATCACTAAACCCCTGCACAAATTGTCGGTAATAAGTCACGAGTCCCAGGAACGATCTCACCTCCGTAATGTTCTTGAGGCATGATCATTCAAACACAGCCTGTATCTTATCCGGGTCGGTCCATATACCTTTGGCACACACCCAGGTGTTAAGAAATTACACCGACACACGTGCACTCGGAGCCTCTTTATGCTCGACACAGCCCTAACTCTAGGCCCGGATTCTTCTCCTGACTTGAAGCTCGTACTCTCACCCAAACATCCCCTCTCCTTGTGCCCTCCACTTTTATCCCTCTCGAGCCCACTCTCTCAAACTTTCTTTCACTGTCTTTCTACCAGCCAATCCCCATCCTTCTCCCTTAATGGTTCTCAACCGTCGCCTCCAGTTTTGACTTCTGCTTCGCGCTTTTTCCCATTTTAACCTTTCTTCCAATCCCTTCAAACCTTTGCCTCCTGACCAATCATCCTAGAGGCCCCTTTACAACAATAGGAGGCCTCTTTACACCAATAGGAGGCCTTGGCCTGCTTTCTGGAAAACGTTTGGCTGTACATTTGCTTGGGGCGAGTATTTCCTAATTTTGGTCATTATAGATGGTCAAACACCAAAAAGAAACTTTTTGCAAGGAATCGAGTCTGCATCGACCACACGTACTTGTGGTGAACGTGCAAACAAACATCCTCTGATGTAATATATGTGTGACACATGGTGTCAGTTAGAGTCGGATAAAGCCCCCCATAATTAAAATAGTAATCAGGTTGCTATAAACTGCATCCCCAGCCAAGAGGGCGATACCGCAAGCGGTTGATCACTGCGAACCCAGACGCAGCTATCCTCATTACACCGTCTAACAGGGCAATCCATGGGCTCACATTGGTGGGAGCACAGACGGTGCGAGTCAGGAGCCGTTTTTGCAAGTGTTGAATGTAGGTGAAAAGATGACTACTGTTCAAGCCGGTACTGTGCTAGCTCACGCGATGCCCACAAGCTGCGAGGCGGTTGACCCAGCAGCAGCGGGTATCGAGGGGGTGGTAGAGAGAAATGCGGAGTCGGATGAAATGTGGGCGGACGAACTTTGTAGAGAAAACCCGGAATTGTCAGAGGCACAACGATGCAAATTGAAGTCGGTACTTCTGCAGTTCTTGGATGTTTTCAGTAAAGGGAAATTCGACATGGCCATACTTCACTGTTGCATCACCATATTGATACGGGGGAAGCAGCCCCTATTCGACAAAATTCATATGGTATGAGTCCACTTGAAAAGGAACATGTTAAACAGGCAGTGGACGAGATGTTAGCCGCAGACATAGTTTCACCATCGACCAGTCCTTCGGGAGCTCCTGTGGTGCTTGTTAAACAATCGGATGGTAGTCTATGGTTTTGTGTCAATTTCCGGAAGCTAAACAAATTAACGGTGGCTGATGCATACCTGCTCCCGCACATGGACGATTTGTTGGACGCGCTGTCAGTGATATATATTTTTTTGACGTGGGACTTACTATTGGGATTTTGGCAAGTACCCTTAGATGAACTGTCGAAATCAAAAACTGCATTTCGTACACCTCAAGGGCTTTTTAAATTCAATTGTCTGCCCATGGGACTGCATTCAGCGCCTGCCACGTTTCAAGGACTCATGGAACTGGTTCTTGTGGGATTACAATGGGACTCATGCCTCATTTATTTGGACGTTATTGTGTTTGGTTGTACGCTTGAGGAGCATTTTCTGTGGTTGCGCACAGTGTTTGAAAGTGAAGCCGGCTCAATGTCATCTATTGCAAACTTATGTACGGTATTTGTGGCACATTGTGAGCACGTCCAGGGTACCTACAGACCCCGAAAAAACGGCTTGTGGATGGGATTGGCCGACCCCAAAGATATTCTTTTTTTTGGATTTGCCTCCTATTACCGGCAGGTTGTCCCACAATTTGCAACCATTGCAAAACCTTTACATGCATTAACTGCCAAGAGCCAAAGATTCACATGGGGAAGGAGGAAGAGGTCGCTTTTGTCACGCGACGCGACCAACTCTCAAATGCGCCACCTTTGGCTTACCCTGACTTCTCCTTGCCCTTCATCTTAGATACGGACACCAGTGATCTGGGCAATAAGGGCTGCCCTCTCTCAGGTGAAGAATAGGGTTGAAGTCGTCATAACCTATGGTAGTCGTGTCTTATCGCCAGCAGAACAGTGCTATTGTGTTAGTGATGGTTTACTTCATGCAGCAGTACAGGCCTTACCTTTATGGCAGGGAATTCATCATTCGTACTGACCATGCAGCCCTGCAGTACTCCCTGCGCATAGATCAAGCTTCTGGCCAGCTGTCACGCTGGCTGTAAATACTGCAGGAGTACTCCTTCCAAGTCGTATATAGGAAGGGTACTAAACACAGTAACGCGGACGCACCGTCTCAGTTGCCTCACGAGGCACCGTGCACGTCAGGCGCTGGCTGATGCAAACCGGCTGCGTGAATGTCGCCAGCGATCGTGGCTTCACTTCAAAGTCAAGAACCTACCACGGCAGAAGTGCACAAAGATAGCACACTGGGGCTCATATATAGTGGGGGCAGTTGCAAATTGATGATACTAGCCTGTTAACCCTTCGACGTCGCGCAAAAGCGAACCTGGATACCCATACCTCCTCGGGAGTCTCTCGGTTTATTAACTACGAGGGACTTTTAATGCAGTGGGATGGGATCACACAGCGACTATGCCTGGTCGTTCCCACATCCCTAAGGGGTAAGCTAACGAGTGAGGTGCATGAGACGAAGCTGCTGCACCTGGGAGATTTATAAGACACTGTTGACTTTGCAACGCGATTTCTACTGGCCAGGAATGTCTGGTGATGTATATCACTTAATCACGAGTTGCACGAAGTGTGCACGTCAGAAAACTCGGTTAAAAAAAAGTCAGCCCCCTACTACAGTCCATCACAGCGTTCCAAATAAATGACTTGGTTGTGCTGGATATTCTGGATCCCTTCCCGTGTTCACAGAGAGGGAACAGGTTTCTCCTTGGAGGCATAGAATATTGTACAAGATGGCCAATGGCTTAGCCATTACCTGATCAAACAGCTGCGTCCGTCACGGATGCGTTCCTACATGGATACGCGATGGATAAAGATGCTCCAGAACAGCTTCTGACTGACATTTTTCATCGAAACTCTTGCGTAAGGTGTGTGCAATGTTAGGTACTAAGAAACTTTGGACATCCCCGTTCCACCCTCAGATGGATGGAATGGTGGAACGATTGAATA